TTTTTTGACTCTCAGCTGCACTAACAGATTGCTCTCACATTGCGACTCTCAGATTGCTTATGTCAAGCTAAGCAAATAGAGGCTAATCAATGACACCTCTCACCCTGCAACTTCTTTCCTTAAATTTTATCAGTTGTCAGCATGTGTTGCTCCTGATCACTAGGGCTGTACAGCCCCCACCCCAAATTAATTTATCTTTACTATTCAAAAGTGAGACTCTACCAAAAAAGAGAGAGGAAGTGACTCACTGAAGATATAAACGGTAGATACAGGACATGCCAACTTTATTTTTCCCCACAGATGATCACATAACACAGTTAAGTGCACATCACCTATCTAGTATCCATACTAATTATTCAGAAACAACCGTTACTTCAAAACCTAACTTTAAAAAACTTTGTACTAATAACTTAAATCTAATAGCAGGAAATAAATCAAGGAAGGGGTGCTGGGATGGAGTTTCATGGAGAGTGACAGTAAGCTGTGAAGAGACTGTCCTGAGACATAGTAAAGGGCAGGATATAAAGGCAATAAATAAATAAATAAATAAATAAATAAATAAATAAATAAATAAGTGTTAAAAGATTCTGACACTGGATCCTTAATTAGTAGCCCCAGATCCCAGTCTTTAACTTTTAAGATTATATCCAAAACCATGAGGACTAGAAATTTGTTTTTAAAGCTGTGGTGGAAAAGCTGAGAGAACCACAGCATCCCAGAATCTCTGAACATCATATATAGGGCTGATGGGAGTTTGATACCCACAATATTGGGAGAGCCACAGTTTTAAAGGAAAAATGCACAAGGGATTGCTTACAAATTTAGTATTATTATTACATTGCATTATTTTCCTTCTTCTTTCTTCCTCTTGCAAGGAACTCATGGTGGCTTACAAGGTTCTCCTCCTCTGTTTCTCCTCTTCTTTGAGATAGGTTGGACTGAGAGCCTTTGACTGGCCCAAAGTCACCCAGTGGACTTCATGGTTGAGTAGGGGCTAAAACCCAGATCTCCTGAGACCCAATCTAACACTCTTCATCAAGACACCACATTGCTAAATGTGTACCTACATTTAGCAGAATATTTTGGTATATTTATATTTCTTAGCTGCGTGGGACAGGTGGCTTATAAGGCCAAAAGATTGGTCCTAAATTAAATAAACTTTAAAACAATGCCACATACTAGCACCATCTTCCATTTTCACAAGTGACTAAGATAGGAAATGAAAGCAAAAAAGACAGCTGCAGTGCAGGGGGCCAGGAGAGACAGGAGCGAAATCAGATGGCAAGAATTTGTAGGTATTTCCTGGTGGGTGGGGGGAAAGGCAAAGTGTGGGGACTGCTGAATATTTCAGTTAATTTTGAACTAATCTTTCAAGCTTTTCTGGTCACTTGGATTATACCTTTTCAATTCAGTAACTGATATCAAATAATACTAACAATGGCCTTATTTAAATGGGATTAAGACGGGCTTGGGCACTGATTTATGGAAGAAGGATTTTACTACATGAATTACAATCGATCTCCTGCAAAATTTGCTGAGTCAAAACATTCACTGCACCATGGAGATTAAAAAGACTCTTCACTGCAGGAAACAAATATCCACACTATTGTACCCAAGGATAAACAGGATCTGGACCTTATGTGCTAACGGAAGTAGTCAGGTGCACATAGCAGCAATTTGAAAAGACTGCTCTTTTTGCAAGTCTAAGAAGCAAGACAAACAGCTCCCAGATTATCAAAACCATTAAGAATGATCATGTAAATGTGCTGAGGAGAAAATTATTTCCAGCCACTGAACCATTAAGGGGATCTAAGCACTAAGAAGACATAATGAACATTTGTTTGTAATCCATTGTTTCAACACCAGTACTATTTATAAAGTTGAAAAAGCTAAAGGAAATAACCATATGGAAGCAGCTGCTGCAACCTGAACAACCAGAGGTTAGATAATAGACACATCAGGCTTGTTATGAAAGTGTGTTGCAAACATAGTTAGTGTTTCCTTGACAATGTTGTATCTTAAAAGAAGGTGGGGGGAGGAAGAATCTGTTCCAACAGTGAAATGAAAGTCCATATTTGGCAGAGAATAATGTAACTGTCAGCTGCAATTATTGCATTACGGCAGGTTTTTTGACGCAGGGAACCTTGAAGAGTTTGAATCACAGCTAAAACCAGTGAAGAGGAAGGCTGATCAGACACAGCTCTTGCTTGAATGCACCACTTCAGTCTGTCGATAGCGGACCAAAGGTTTCAGTACTGTCGATACATATAAAACTAGCATGTTTCAAATGTTTAGCTAGCTTTATAGCTATAATAAAATATTTTTGTTTTTAAATGCAACAGGGAATTTAAACATCTAATCTCCAATCTTTAGTCTAAAATAGAAGAATCCAGTAACAAATGAAATCCAACAGGCCTTTTGTTAATCTGCTATACCTTTCAGAAGAGGCTGATAGGACAGAGCTATCCTGATAGTCTTGTGCCCCAGATTTTCACAGAAAAGTTCTTTCATTCAAAGAGTAATTGCTAGCTTAGAGAAGATATTTCTCTCTACCACACCTTTGCATCTGTCAAAATTTTTCAATGGCTCTTTAGTCAAACAGCACCAGCTTTTCACTGATGGATGCATGTCTCCCCCCACCCCACCTCACCCAAAAAAGAAGTCCAGCCTATACACAGTAACAATCACCCAATTTTATTTAAAATCAAAGTAGCAAGCATTTTTTCTTTAACTGCCATACAGAGAGGAAAAGTGCAAATGCAGCCTTGCTGAAGTTCTTTTCCCACAGAGATTGCTGTGTGCTGTGTACTATGCTTGAGGCTGCCTGTTTCCCACCTATGCTAATTCCCATCTAAATGCAGTCTGTCCTCTTGCTATGCCTCTGCCAACAGAAGGGAGCCATTTCCAGTGTACCTCAGGCCTTTCTCAGCCCTTAATTAGTAACCAAGTAAATAATGCATACTGCAATGTAAAAATGAAATAACCACAAGGGAACCCAGCCTCATTCTCATCCAAGAGGCTACAGCGCTGTTATATCAACACAAACATAAATCAAATATCAACAAATATGCACAGCTTTGCTGTATATGTATAAAACAGCAGGGGGAAATCTCCTGTTGGTAGAAGGGATGCTTTCTGAGACTGGGAGACTTTTCCTCCAGAGAAGCTTTTCCACTTGCTGAATGGGGAGATGCTATCTTGCCAAATTTTCCCTCCCCCAGCAGTCCCTGAAAATTTGCTCTGGAAAGCTGAGGAGAATCAGTGAACATCCCTAGTTCTTCTATTGGCAGGACAGTTCTCAGTGAAACTGTGCTCAAGGGATGTTGTCTATATTCCTTGAAGCAGGATCCAATCTACTATATTGTAACTGACTTCCCTGTGGGCAAGGGAAGGGGAATGAGGGAGAGACTTCAACTCAGTGGAAGGTCCAAAAGCAATTCACACCAGCAACTAGCAAGCTTCAAAAAACAGTGCCTGAGATATCTGAAGAACTGCACTGACATTTCAAGTTGACCATACCAAGTTTAATGACCCTTACTAGCATGAAATGTACAATCATTTTCTATGCCAAAACTATATGACCCATATACTAAGGTAAATCTCTGCCTCTCATTCAGGAATGTTAATTATATTTGTAATGTTAAAATACAATTTTAACTTTTGTAATATTTAATAAATCAATGTATTGTACAAAAGTTCTTAAAGGTTAACTGTGTGTATTGAAGTAGCACACATTTTGGTCAAGTGGTATACAAAAATGGCTGAAAAATGGCCAGAAGCACTAAAGCATCCTTCAGTAGCCACATCTGATTGGAATCTACCTGATATAAGGTGGGTTCACATGTAATGAAAAGTCATGGTCGAAACCACCATGACTATGTGAATCCAACAAGAGTAGTGAAATGTGGTAAAGATGGTCTCCACAGAACCACAGAGAGAAGCGACGGCTTGTTCTATGGCTTCCATACTTCACCTTTGCGTCCGAACCCCATTTCCATGTGGTTTCTACCTTTCTGCCAGGGAGGTTTTAGCAAGAGCAAACGCAGCAGCAGCAGACACTCCAGCTTGCACTCTCCCATTCAAGTCTACCTAGCAACTACTGAGGCAGCTGCGGCCATGCTGTGATTGGCCACTCTGCCCTCCTTTTCTTTTATGCCTGGGTGCTGCCCTCCCAATGCCCACATGCAGCTTTGGAACCTTGGTGGCAGCCGGGCATCGTGCCATGCTGTCCCCAGCAGCAGCATCCTTGGGGACGGCTGTGCAGGGCCCTCCTCCCTGGCCAAAACGATGCTTTGAAATAAATATGTCCTTGCTCTACTGTTAGAGCCAGCATTCTCCTTCCGCGAAAGCTGCACTTCTTTGGAAATTTCTTCCCAGCAGGACACACCACCTCAGTCCCTGGCACAGGTGCCTGCGCTGCTGCCCCCCATATGCCTGGCTACTGGGGGGAGGTGGCCCCTTCCAGTGAATACAGTGGAGGCAGAGACACACCTGCAGTGAGGGAGAGGTGGGGAAAGAGGTGTGGGTGTGGCTGGGTATGCTTGCATGTTGGCACATGCAGAGTGTGGCAGCACAGAGAAGGGCTACAGTAGTGCTACTCCAGAGCAACAGTGAGCAGTAGGCAGTTGCTTCTTCCGAGCAGCAGCAACAACTAAGAGCAACAGACTGAAGCCATGCCTAAGGGAGTGTGTGAGCCAATGAGTGAGAGACGGGTAACGCAAGCAGGATCATCGTACCCTGGGACTGATCTTCAGCTTTGAGGGTTTCTAGGATGCCAGCTGACATTAGGAGGAAAGATGGAGAAATGTGGAAACCATGTGACTGTCTGAAACCAGGATCCAAGAAAAGAAACCACACTGTATAGTAAGTTCACAGTACGGCATGGTGTTACATGTGAACACAGCCATACTGTCATAATGCAATGTTGACTAGTAAGATTAATAGGGCTATTAATGTTCTAGAGTTCTCATTATTGATGCAATAAAATGGCATCTACTCACTAGCTTATTGGGAGAAAGATATTCATCCACAAGTAGTTCTTCATCATCTTTAATCAATGGACTGGGATTCAGACTTTGCCAACCCAAATCTGTGACCCGAACTGTTGCAGAACTCGGCCTCGTGATTCGGGCTAACTTCCAGTTTAGCTCCATCTCAGAGTGCTCTAAATGCTGAAAACACAACAACTCAAGCTCCAGTTCTTATTTCATGCAACATTAAAGCAAAGTTAGTTTTTTTGTATCCAGGGCTGTACTAAAATCTTATAGTGACACTGAAAAGTGATATAGATACCTACAGTACAAACACCAGGAATCTCACATTTGGCTTCACGATACATGAGACATCAGCATTTTAAGCTTATGATTAAAGATCACCTCTCACTGTTGCTCCTTTTAGAAGACCTTTCTACATTCGTAAAGGTTTTATTCATGCATAACTGCTTTATCACTCCAAAATCCCAATGATAAATAAAAGCATCAGTTTGTTTTAAACTACCAAGTAAGTACCAAGAAGGAATTTGTTCTTTGATAGTAAGAATAGAACAGCCTTGATAGATCTCACCAAAGAAAGTTAAATTTATCCCAGCAACCCATTTCCATCTGCAGCCAATCAGATGCACTCAGGGAACCCACATGTAAGCCATGAAACAATGACTTTCCTCTCCCCCACCCCCCATAGAAATTAATGGTATTCAGAGGTCTATCAATTTGGAACATTATGGCCAGGTCTGGACAACACAACAACTGATCTTGATTTCTTTTCATAGGTGGGTTACTGTGTTATAAAGACACAGCCCAGGTTACCGAGGGTGGTATTCCCCTGCCCCCAAACAACCCACTCTGAGAACTCATGGGCTTTATTTATCTGGAGTACTTTAACCCATCCAATCAGTACACATCTCTGGATGGCTTACAACAATAATACAATAAATACAACAGTATAAATTACTAGGTTGTTGTCACCCACAGTGGGCTGTCATGTCATCCGGACCTAAACAAGACAGCCCACTGTTGGTGAATCCTGAAAATCAGCAAGCCATTGGGAAAGAACAGCAACAATCCCTTGCTACAGCTGCACATGCCCCCCCTGGCAAGGAAGGACAACCTTGCCAGCAGCTTGAGAGTTACTCTTAAGCTTCTGACAAAGATGACCAAGATCTACTCCTACTTGTTAATGGGGCATGTGCTATCTTGCTGAGGAGGAGCTCCCAGCCATACTTGCTGGCAGCTCAGAAGCAGACCTATCCAGCCACTGATGGGGATCCACTCAGTGCTGTCCAGTGTTTGAGGCAACAACACAGAGCATATTAGACACCTCCATCTCCTCCAATCAGCAAGTAGACCTCACAAGCAGGAAGCAGGAGCTGGAGATCAACTCAGCTACACTACCCTGCTCTACGGAGTGATACCCACCAGACTGGGCATCCTTGCCTCCTTCTGCAGAGGAAACAGGAGCTGGGGTGCACCCCACATCATGTTTCAGGCAGGGCACAAGCCCTGTTTGCATCATGAGACATAGAATAAATGCTTTAATTCTTCCTTTGTCCTTGTAGTGCCCACAGAGCTTGTGCTCTGAAACACAGTGAAGTCAGCTTCCAGCCTGTCTGGGGCCACATGCAGCAGGTTGCCTGCACCAGCGGGGGAGCAGGCAGCCCCCCTGATATGGCCTCAGCCAAGACTGGAGATCGACTTCATTGCATTTAAGGCCACGGATCCTGTTTGTGCAGCATCCCTGATCATGGCTGCAAGAGAAGAGGCCTGTTCCTTCTCAGTCTCCTGGGACAGGAGGGGAGGGGGAGGGAATGAAGTACCCACTATGAGCCTGATTGCCTGTCAGTCACATCATAGGTATCTGCAAAAAAACCAACCCACTCTGGCTTATTGTGTGTGTGTGGGGGGGGAGGGTTGTGTCACTCAAACTCAATTTAGTCACCATCTCTGTTTTCTCTTTTTTACCTGATAAGAGCAAGTAAGCCTCTTATTTTTGGAATGTATCTATTTTCCTCACAAACTGCTGAAGGTGTCTTTATTCCAAAATGAGTAGAATGACATCAAAGATTTCTGTTATCACTCAACACATGACTCCTTTCTGTTCTGCCTGACTGTAATGAAACTTAAATTCTAAGCAAACATGTTTTAAATCACAGCAGCAACAAATTAACTGAGTGGGCTTGGGACTCAGGAAATTTGGGTTTTAGTTCCCACTTGGTCATGAAGCTCAATGGATGACTCTGGGCCTGTCACAACTCTCCATCTAACCTACCTCAAAGGGCTGTCAGAAAGATAAAAAGGAAAGAGTGAGAACTATTTAAGCAGCCTCAGATTCCTTGCTATGCAACATATATAAGAAATGTTAGCCAGCTATGTATAATGTCAAAAAGTCCAAACATGAATACTACAAAATACTACAAAACTGAACCAAACAGAATACTACAAAACAGTCCAAACCGAATACTACAAAACTGAACAAGAAATAATTAAATCATTCAGAAGAAAAATAATCTACAGTCTAGAAAGGAATGTAGTATCCAGGATTTTACCTTCTTCAAGGAAAAATGGAAGTCAATCTTGACCATGGAGTTGGGCATGGTAGGGGAAGGCAGGTGTTAGGAGGTGGCAGAACCAGGTGGGGATGTCTGCTGGGCAGGGTGCCCTTGTTATAGCCACAGAAAGCTCCAAAGCACAGAAACCCTAACCTTCTACCAGCACAGTTATTATTAGTTTAGAAGTCTGGAGATGCACTGCTAATTCCCTCTGAAATTGATTTTAGCAGAAGGAAGATTTTTGATTGACAAAGATCCATTGTGCTGAAAAGCACAGCAAAGTTGTCCCCACCTCCCATCTTAAGCAAGCAGAGCTTTGGGAGTGATGAGTGATCCGCTACTTCACTCCTCCCTCTGGCCCCAGCACAACAAACTCAGTTCAAGGTGCTCTGTTAGTAAGATTTATTTATTAGATTTATATCCTACTTTTTTTCTTAAACTGAACTCAAAGTGGCTTATATCATTCTCCCCCTGCTGTTCTCAATCTTACTCCCACAACAACAATCCTGTGAGGTGGACTGGCCTCAGAGTCTGTGACTGGTCCAAAGTCACTCAGTTAGCTCCATAGCGAACTGGGGACTAGAACCCAGACGGCCTGAGTCCCAAGTCCTGCACTCTTAACCACTACACCAAACTCAGTTAATTTGTTGCAGCTGTGATCTTAAACATGTTTGCTTAGAATGTAAGTTTCATTAGTCAGGCAAACCAGAAAACTTGGATTATCTATTAAAGTAAAGGGCTTACAAAGCCTTATGAAGGGTATACAAACACTACCAACAGGAATGAGATTTGCCTTTCTGACAAATGAGTGGCAAGGGAAAAAAAGCTTTGAATTACTTGGAATGGAAGAAGTGCTTTATTGTTGTGTAATAAGACGACAAAATCCAACAGTGCTTATACTGTGAATAGCCAGACAGAGCTCCCAAGCAGTTAATCAACACACGTGGAATAAAATGAGTTCTCACCACTTCTACATACTGCAGGTGCACAGAAAATGTCTTCTCATCTCTGAAACATGTCTTAGTGCAACACTTACTTATGGTTTGACAAGCAGATCAATTTGTGGTTTAATATCCAAAGTTACACTCCTGATTTTATACTTCCCATTATTGATCTGTTACTTGTAATTCTTGTAGAACAGAATTAGCTAGCAGAACAGTATTTCATGGCCAGTACCACAAGTAAGCGTAAACAGAAAACTATTTCCAAAACTGAAGAGGCAATAATAAATGTAGCTGTGAACAATTAAAAGGTGATTTATATTGAAAACCAGTAATACAGAACAGCTGCATGAAGTACCATCCCTGCAAGAGTGTTATATAAAAGCCACTATAGTCTTCTCAATGCAACTAACCTGATCCCAGGCAAAAATGAAGAAAAAAAAAAAAGAAGGCGGGGTGCATACTAAGCTGTGTCTTGTTTTGACTTTTATCACGTCTTTCTAGTATGAATTTAAAAATGGTAGGATGATACTTTAAATGTTTAACAATACACATAATAAAACTATTTCTGGTAGGATCACAGAAATATAATGTGGCAGAGGATAAGCATCTGAAGTTATTTAGACCTAGTGAAGTAGTAAGGTGCCAAAAGATTCCCTGTCAAATAAGCATGAATACTTGATCTTCTTTTAAAAATTGTGTAAGTATATTTTCAATTTCAGCTATCCAGCATTGCTCCTAGGCTCCAACCATCTTGTTTATTGGCAGCTCAATCTTATGGCCACTAGATCCCATTTAAACAGCCATAGGATTTTCAGATTCCCCCTTATGAGATCAAAAAAACCACTATGACTTTGGAGCTGTGGAAATGTGCTCAGATACCCCTCCCTGCACTTGCAGCCTGCCTAGAAAGATCCAAGCTGACTGCTTCTCCAAGCATATTTGAGCCACCTCAGAGAAGCGCTTTTGAGCATGAGGAGAGGAAGAGAGAGGGGCCACCAAGACACAAGTTATCTTGGTGGTGCTTCGGTCTCCTTCCCTCCCACTCAGAAATTTAGTACTTAGACAACTGAATTCAGCTCTCCCTGATTTTTGCAGGGTGAGAGGAACACAGAGACAATCTTCACCTCTGCACTCTTCCCACAGGATGCCCTTAATCCTCTGTGTTCAGAGAGCTACAGATATCCTGACTGGATTACACCTATGATGTATTTACTTAATTTATACCTCTCCCTTCTATGATAAAAACCTCAAGGCTGCTTACAAATAACTGAGCAAATTAATCCCAACAAAATTAAAAACAACCTTAGCAAACAAGATGTTAATTAAAAAACACCATCTCATTAGCAGCCAAAAATATCACTAGAAGCTCTAAATAAAAAGAGCCAAAATCTCTACCAAACAGGCTTAGGGTACAATCCTATGTACCTGTATATTTAGATGAACAACAGCCCTATAACTCACAACTTTGGCTGTCTGAGGAATTGCAGCCAAGGAGTTGCAGGTCTTTTTTTTCTGCCTAAGCATGCATAGACAGAACACCTTAAGAACCTGTTTCAAAGCAGGTAAAGATGTTTTTTACTAAGGAATCTTTCACCTCTTGGGAACCTGTTCTGCATTTTAGGTGCCGCAATGGAAAAGGGCATTTCTCTTGTCTTCACTAGCCACA